AGCACTTGAATTTGTTGTCAGCCTTTTTTGTCAATGTCCAGAAATGGAGGCTCTGTATTGTCTATCAATTGCCTGTCCTGGAGATTAATTTCATCAAAGTGATGGAATTCATCCCCCAAATCAAAACAGATTTCTCCATTTTTTCTGGTTCTGTCAGTAGGCATCCCTTAAGTGGCTGTTTCATGCTGGGTGAGGAGGATACAAAGAGAAGCTTATCATCTAGCAAGCAGAGACAATGTGTATGTATATAAGATAGATGCAAGTTAATTTAGAAGGAAAGGCCCTGGTACTGGAATGGAAGGAGAGGAGATGGGAAGACTTCATATAGAAGATGGTGCTTGAGCTGAGTTCAGTTTAAATCCAGGGATTCTAAAAGGTGGAGGTGAGGACTGAGTGTGTTTGTAACAGGTTTTGTTTTTCTTGTTTTCTCAGTGGGAGATAACAAGTGAGGAGGAAAATAATGTGGACATGAAAATAAAATTGAATTAGGGGAAAAAATAATCCCAACTCTGACATTATCTGTGTGACTTTGGGCAAGATATATAACCTCTGAGCCTCAGTTTTCTCATCTGTAAGAAAGGGATAATACTCATGGTATCTAATTTTACCAAAATTATTGTGAGGCTCGAATTAAGTAATACAGGTAAATCACATTGCAAAGTTTAAAGTGCAAAAAAAAAAGAACCTTTTTATTAAGCATATTTCCTTCCATAAGAAAAAGAAAGCTTAACTGGGAACCAAGATCCCTAGATTCCTTCTCTACCACTTCCCTAATTACGTCTGTGGCCGTGAGCTAGGTACCTGGAGCTGATGTCCGTTTGTAAGATAGGGATTGGACTAGAGCCAGGGGTTCTTAATAATAATAGCTAGCATTTATATAGTACTTTAAAGTTGGCAAAGCACTTTACAAATATTCCATTTAATCCTCACAACCATCCTGGGAGGTAGATGCTATTATTATCCCCATTTTGCAGATAAGGAAACTGAGGCAGGCAGCAGTGAAGTGACTTACCCAGGGTCACTTAGCTAATAAGAGTGTCTGGGGGTAGCCAGGTGGCACCAAGGATAGAGCACCGGCCCTGGAGTCAAGAGGACCTGAGTTCAAATCCGGCCTCAGACCAAACACTTGGCACTTACTAGCTGTGTGACCCTGGGCAAGTCACTTTAACCCCAATTGCCTTAAAAAAACAAAGTGGCTGATTTCACCTCTGAAACGTCTCTCAAATACACCCCGTTCTATCCCCTGACACTGCCACCACCCTCATGCAGGTCCCCATCACCTCATACCTGGACCATTGCAATAGTTTGCTGGTGGGTCTGCCTGCCCCCAGGCCATCCTCCATTCAGCCACTGAAGTGATTTTGCTAAAGGGCAGATCCTACCCTCACTCCCTATTCAGTAAACTCCAGTAGCTCTTATGGCCTCCGGGGTCAAATGCACAATCCTCTGCCCGACATTCAAAGCCCTTGGTAACCAAGCCCCCTCCTGCCTTTCCTGCTGCCATTCATACCTTACTCTCCAGCTTGTAATTTTGGATCCAGTGACTGGCCTCTTTGCTGTTCCTCAAACAAGACACTCCATCCCCTGACTCTGGGCATTTTCTTTAGCTGTCCCCCATACCTGGAATGCTCTCTGTCTTCTGCTCTGTCTATTGACCTCCCAGGCTTCCTTTAAGTCCCGACTAAAATCCCACCTTCTCCAGGAAGCCTTCTCCAACCCCTCTTAATTCCAGTGTTTTCTTATGTTCGTCCTTTTACATTTATCCTGTATATAGCTTGTTTATGTTTGCTTGCATGTTGTCTCTCCCATTAGATGGGAGCTCCTTGAGGGCAGGTTCTGTCTTTTGCCTCTTTGTATCCTTAGTTCTCAGCATAGTCCCTGTCACATAGTAGGTGCTTAATAATTGTTTGCTGATTAATTGAGGTCACATTTGAATTGAGGTCTTCTTGACATCAGGTCATCACTCTATCTACTTTCCCACCTAGCTTTTCCAGGTCATGGATATCTTTGGCAGGCTGGTGAAGACTTAGGGACACCCTTTCAGAATATTTTTTTTAATTTATAAAATAAAATACACAAGATTACAAAGGGAACTAATTATATTGAAATAATTATAAAAATATTTTAGAAAGCAAGTTCATGGACACCCTTCTCCCAGGTTAAGAGCCCTTGAACTAGGCAGTTTCTAAGTCCCCTTCAGTGTTTTAGAGTGAATCAAAGAGAAACATGACACCATTTCTATTTCCTACCTTATTTTATTTTAATGTGAAACTTCTGTTTCTTACAAGCAGATGAAATAACAAATGAAGATAGCTTTCTTACTTGGAGGATGCTGGGGTGAAGGAGAGGCATAAGCTAGACAGTGATACTCAAGAAAAAGGAAAGAAATTTGCCCACACATCCCCCACCCTCTTCCCCACCTTTCCCCAGTTAATGTGATTAAGAAGCTTGGTGTTGCTGGCACTGCTACAGACAATCAGGAATAGGTTGTGGAAGGAAGAAGGAAGGGTCTTGGGTAGGAGAAGGGAAGTTGATCTGTTTGACTTGATTACATCTCCCCTGAAACCCAAAATGTAGATTGGTTGGAACCTGCTCTGGAGGGTGGGGATTGGCCGGAGAGGGGTGGGTGGGGTGTGTGTGTGTGTGTGTGTGTGTGTGTGTG